TTAATGCTGCGACCCCCAACTGGTCGTAAGTCGAGGACTACTCAACTGGTGCAGCACCGTTTGCAGAATGGGACTTTTGGCAGGCTCAGCAGGGCAGAGACAGCCTGGACAATTCCTATTGGCTTTTGAAAGCCAATAGAATTAGACTCTATTCAAGAGAGTCTATTCTATTGGCTTTCAAAAACCAATAGAATAGAAGGGAGTAGCACAGCTAAGGAAAAGAGGGAAAAAATGGCGGACTGCGTTATTTGGCAACCCCCGTGAAATGGTCGTTCGACCCCAAATGGGGTCCCGACCCACAGGTTGAGAACCACTGGCCTAAACTCTCCTCAAAAAAGGAAAAAAAACTTTTAATAAATTGATCAGAAGAAATTTAGACGTTATAGTTATTCAAGAGACTCACATTAAGGAACAGCACAGACAGGTGTTGAAATGCCCTAAACTGGGGAAGATGTTTGCATCTCTATCACAGCACAACAAAAGAGGAGTAGTGATGTATATCACAGTCAATCTTAGCCAAGCAAATTTATAAAGTTACAGAAGGCAGGATTTTGATAGTGGAGATGACAATTAACCAAAAACGGATAATATTAGTAGGAATCTATGCCCCAAATGGGGAGCAAGACCAATTCGATAGGAAACTATATAATACACTACGGGCAATAGATAGTGAGAACATCTGTATTATGGGCAATTTTAATGCAATAATAGATAGGAAGCTAGACTATAAAAGCAAGGAAGAAAGAAAGGGACCTAGAAGAATACTGCCAAAAGTTTTCTTTAAGATGATGGATGAATTAGGAATGCGAGATATTTGGAGAGAAAGGAATGTTGAATTTAATAATAGCAGCAAGATTATTGGTGGGTCAATATTGGAAGAAAGACTCTCTGCCTTCTTTAAAAGAATGGGTATTTAAGGTTTCTAATTTAGCAGAAATGGCTAAAATTCCTGCTTATTTAAAGGATCACTCACAAGAGAGATATGTTATTGTATGGAGAAGATGGATAGAATATGTTCAGAAGAAATATGAAACTACAAAGTTTCATTTATTTTATGAGTAATGGATTTGTTTATAAAATTATGATGTTAAAGTTTGAAGAGAGTTAAGGGTTAGTATGATTTTGGTTATTGTATAATTAGTAAACTTAAATAGATTTATGTTTAATATGTTTGTATAACCCTGTACTTGGCTCTGGGAAGTGGGGGGGCAGGGGGTGGGGGAGGGGTGGGGGGAAGATGGGTTGGAGGTTAAATAGCTCAGATAAGTAGAAATAGTTTTATTGTATATAATATTGATGTTTTAATTTGGAGAGAGGAATTGTTCCCCTGGACTGCATCTGGAGTGAGAAGATAGGAGGAAGGGGAGAAGTAAGTAGGAAGGTTGAGGAGAAGGAGGAGAGGGGGAGAGTGAGGAAGAAGAGGGAAAGAGGGAAGTGAGAGAAGAGGTTAGAGGGTGGATGCGGTTTGGGGGGAAATGGGTAGGCAATACCGAAAGTTGTTTGTATAAATTTATTTTACTCTTTATCTGAAGTATTTTTTATGAATGTAATGTAAAATTTAAAATAAAATTTTTTTTACAAAAAAAAAAAAAGGAACCAAGGGGGAAGCCAATACATGTACTATTCGAGTAGATATAAGACGTGGTCCGGGATAGGTATGGTTTGGGTAACGACAGAACTCCTGCAGGAAATGGGGGAAGTGGAAATAGAAACAAACCTTTGGGAGGACCACAACCCGGTGAGAATCAAGTGGAGAAGGGGAAAAAAATGGTAGATGGACACTAAAAAGAGCGATTATAAAACACCACCAGGAAAGATATATCACCACCAGTGTTGGAAGTGCAAGAAAGCGTTAGGGACTTATTATCATATATGGTGGATTTGTTCCAAAGCCAAAGAATTTTGGCGGCTAATAAAGACTTGGTTGGAGAAAATGTTGGGATTGAAGATAGATTCCAGACCAGAATTGTTTTTACTGGGAATGATAGATGGGAAGTTGAACAAAGGAGAGACATATCTAGTGTTGCATATTATAACAGCAGCAAGGTATGCCCAGAACTGGAAAAACGGAGATTCCCTGGTGGAGAGTGAACTAATTAATTTTTTTTTATATGTGCAATGGTGGATAGATTATCCTTAGAAATTAAAAACAAGGATGAAACAGAGTATTACAAAGATTGGGATAAGATGTACTATTGGTTTAGACTCGAGGAGAAAAATCAGAACAGAAAAAGCTCGTCTAGAGGAGAGAAAGTGTAGATTTCCAACCTCAAAGTGAGCGTAAGATAGAGATCAGAAAGAATATGAAATAAGAATGGAAATGGAAGTTATGTTATAAACCGACGTAAGTATGTATGTAAATATATAAATATGTAAATAGTATAAAATGCAATATGTAAATGGTATAAAAGATCAATGACTAGGAAGATATATGGTATATGGTATAGTATGTATGGCAAAATAAACAGCCAGAAAAAGTCACACTGTATTCAACCTGCAACAGCCAAAATAGGGAAATTCCACAAACATCAGCCAAATAATTTCTGATAGTTACTTTCCTCATCTAAAAAATCAATTTTCCTTTGTTCAACTGTGGCAAAAACAATCCACAATTGAAGTGACGCATGAATCCTAAATTGCATTAACAGAGGGACTGAATCAAGATTACCTGAGGTACTAGTACCACTCTATAAAGCCTTAATAAGGCCACACCTAGATTACTGCATCCAGTTTGGGCCACCACACTATAGAAAAGATGTTGAGACTCTAGAAAAGAGTGCAGAGAAGAGCAACAAAGATGATTAAGGGCCTAGAGGCTAAAACATATGACGAACAGTTGCAGGCATTGGGTATGTCTGATTTAATGAAGGACCTGGGGTGACAGGATAGCAGTGTTCCAATATTTGAGGGGCTGTCACAAAGAAGGGGGGGGGGTTTCCAACCTATTTTCCAAAGCACCCAAAGGCCAGACAAGGAACAATGGATAGAAACTGATCAAGGAGATTCAACCTAGAAATAAGGAGAAATGTTCTGGCAGTGAGAACAATCAACTAATGGAATAGCTTACCTTCAGAAGTTGTGGGCCCTCCATCACTGGAGGCTTTCAAGAAGAGACTGGACAGCCACTTGTCAGAAATGGTACAGGGTCTCCTGCCTGAGCAGGGGGTTGGACTAGATGACCTACAAGGTCCCTTCCGACGGTGTTCCTCTGTATATTCTGTAATCCAACCAGCAACCACTGTTTCCCATAACACTAATTATGAGGGCAGTGGTTTGCTGTCCAAGCTTGTTTCAATATAGTTTCTGAATGTTTCGTTACCAAACTAGGTAACATCAGCAGCAGAAGTTAATTGTATTATCCTCCTTAGCTTATAAATGTCTTGTGTGCCAGTGTGGTCAGTTGGTGTTTATCCGTTTGGAGCTATGTTTAAATTCTGAGCAGGCTGATTGGTTCTCTTGTTGATTGGTAGTTCAACTGTTGAACTGCTCAGAATTTAAAAATAGCTCCAACAAGAGAACCAATCAACTGCTCAGAATTTAAACATAGCTCCAGCAAGAGAACCAATCAGCTGCTCAGAATTTAAAAATAGCTCCAGCAAGAGAACCAATCAGCTGCTCAGAACTTAAACATAGCTCCAAAGGAATAACCCAGGGGTAGGCAACTTTGGCTCTTTTATGACTCGTGGATTTCAACTCCCAGAATCCCTGAGCCAGCATGGCTCAAGTATGGAAACCTCTCCCTTTCCCCTCAGCATGGCTGGCTCAGGAATTCTGGGAGTTGAAGTCCACGAGTTATAAAAGAGCCAAGGTTGTCTACCCCTGGAATAACCAATCCCACGACCCACTGACCACACTGGCACATAAGACATTTACAAGCTAAGGAGGACAATACAATTAAATTCTGATGATGATGTTACCTAGTTTGCTAACGAAACACTCAGAAACTATATTGAAGCAAGCTTGGACACCAAACCACTGCCAAAATCTAAAACCTGAGCTACAAGTATTTTCTATTGCTTTAAAATTAATTATGAGGCCTTGCCCTGCTAGCTAAATCAAAATTCAAGCATTTGACAACTGGCATGTGGTAAACATGGCTGCTGTCCCGGGGTTGTGCGATTGCCATTTACGGCCTTCCCAGGGGGCTTCGGACAGGCAGTCGGGGGAGGGGGAGAAGCTGGATTCACTTAACAACCATGTGATTCATTTAACAACTGCAGTGAGTCACTTAATCACCGTGATGGTCAAATTTGCAGAGCTTGAACCTTTGGGCCTGTGAGTCCTAGAAACGCCCTCTTTGTTAGTAAAAAACCATTTTTGAAATACCTCCAATACATCCCCCAGTTCCTCTTCTTCCTTTTCTCCAGAGAACCAGAGCTACAGATATGCCTCTAAGTAAGCCAAATCGATCTGTCTAAACCAGCGGTTCTCAACCTGTGGGTCGGGACCCCATTTGGGGTCGAATGACCATTTCACGGGGGTCGCCAAACAACGCAGTCTGCCATTTTTTCCCCCCTTTTCCTTAGCTGTGCTACTCCCTTTTATTCTATTGGCTTTTGAAAGCCAATAGAATAGACTCTCTTGAATAGAGTCTAATTCTATTGGCTTTCAAAAGCCAATAGGAATTGTCCAGGCTGTCTCTGCCCTGCTGAGCCCACCAAAAGTCCCATTCTGCAAACGGTGCTGCAAGTTGTCTGCAGCGAAGGTGAGCTGTCTGGAAGTTTCTACCCCTCCCTGCTGAGCAACTACTAAAAATGTAAGGCCAGGGGTGGGAGGTGGGAGGCCGGCGGGCGCAGGGAGGGTTGTTGGCATGCGTGGGGCCTGGCTGGTGCCTTACCTCCCTTGGGGTGGGCCAGCTGGTGGCCCAGCCGGTGGTCGGCCTGCTCTGTCTCTGCCGCTTGCCAGCTACGGCTCGGCTGGCGCAGGGGGCGGCACCACGCATGTGCGGCGCTCCCGGGCAGAGAAAGTCCTCGACTTACGACCAGTTGGGTAGTCCTCAACGTACAACCGGTTGGGTAGTCCTCGACTTACGTCTCGGCATTAAAAAGGTTGAGAACCACTGGTCTAAACTTTCTAAAATCAGAGACCTTATTTTTGGGGGGGGAACGGAATTGTTGGGGTGTAGAACCCTCCTCCTGAAATAATTATGTAATTAAATTTAGATATTAAGCCTAAGATGAGGAACCTGTGTACTGTACACCCACTCCTTTTACTATTTCTCTGCTTGGGGAAAAAAAGGCGGCCCTTGACTTCAAACGTGAGATTGGGTGCTATTTTGCTTCCCGCAAAATAGAAGTCTCTCCTGTTCTAAATAGAATTTCCTCATCTAGTTCTTACAGGTTCTCCAGGAGCTAAAAAGCCAACCAGTCAGATCTCAGATCTCAAAAATAAAAATAAAAATGGAAGTCCTCCTTTGCAGACACTCCCGTTCTATTTCACACCTGGCAGATTCCTTCCTTCTGGACAAAGATGCACCAGCCCTGCAGTGTAGATCCAAAGTAGATTCTGAACAGAAGGGATGATCGTCTATTTACCCTTCTGATCAACTCTCCAGGCATCGTACCATCAGCACCTCCCCAAACCTCCCATATTTTGGTCTGGATGGATTGATGGGCACACACACACACACACACACACGCCGGCCGGTTTGTTGTAACATCAGTGTTTGGAGAGAAAACCCTTTGTTATTGCACAATTGCTGAAAATACACCCCTTCTAAAGAAGAGGTGGAACTGCCGGCGAAATACCGAAGAACCGACGTCTCCTTCGGAACAGCGAGATCCCACTGAGGATCCACAGAGGTCCATCTGAGGGAGATCTCAAGAATTCCCTTCTGTGTGGATTCGCTGATGACTAATGAGGTTTGAGCTCTGAGTAAAGCTTTTCCCACAGTCCAGACACCGGTATGGCTTTTCTCCGGTGTGAGTCCGCTCATGTGCTACTAGGCTGGAACTGCCCCGAAAACTTTTCCCGCAAATGGAGCACTGGAACGGTTTCTCCCCAGTATGGATTCTCTGGTGAGTAATGAGGTGGGATTTGTAACTGAAGCTTCTCTCACACACCATGCACTGGAATGGCTTTTCCCCCGTGTGAATCCTCCGGTGCGCGCTCAGGCGCGAGCTGACGCTAAAGCTTTTCCCGCACTCCCCGCACTGGTACGGTTTTTCGCCCGTGTGGATTCTCTCGTGGCTCACTACCTCAGAGCTGCGGAGAAAACTCTTCCCGCAAAAGGAGCAGCGATAAGGCTTCTCTCCCGTGTGTGCCCTCTCGTGGGCCAGGAGATCGGAGCTCTCGCTGAAAGTTTTCCCGCAGTCCAAGCAGACAAAGGGTCTTTCTCCGGTGTGGCTCCTTTGGTGCTTCCGGAGCCGAGAGCTGACGCTGAAGGTCTTCCCGCACTCGGCGCACTCGTATGGCTTTTCCCCCGTGTGGATTCTCTGGTGGCTGTTGAGGTAGGAGCTCTGGCTGAAGCTTTTCCCGCACTCCAAGCACTTGTAGGGTTTTTCTCCCGTGTGGATCCGGTGATGGGTAATGAGGTTGGAGATGTCGCTGAAGCTTTTCTCGCACACTGAGCACTGGTATGGCTTATCTCCGGTGTGGATCCGCTGGTGGCTCACGAGACCCGAATTGCGGCGGAAACTTTTGCTGCAGTACAAGCATTTGTAGGGTTTCTCTCCTGTGTGGGTCCGCTCGTGGGCGATCAGCCCAGACTTCACGCTGAAACTCTTCGCACAATGGGAACACTTATAGGGCTTCTCGCCTGTGTGGGTTCTCCGGTGGGCGATGAGACTGGAGCTGACGCTGAAGCTTCGTCCGCACTCCGAACACGTGTAAGGTTTCTCGCCCGTGTGGGTTCTCTCGTGGACGATCAGGCGCGAACGAAGACTGAAACACTTCCCGCACGCCAGGCACTTGTGGACCTTTTCTCCTGCGTGATCGGAAGCCGGGATGAAAGTTTCTTTGCGTACAATGATCTTGACAGCTGGTTCGTCGTCGTCATTTTTCTTTCCTGTTGGGGTGACAGTGAGATTTTTGTAACCTTCCACCAAAGGAATGGAGTTTTGAGCCCTCTTCCTTGGAAGCTTTCTCAAGCCGGCATGTTCTGGCTTCTGCTGACTTTCAGAGATGGCTCCTTGCTCATCTGAAACGGGAAAGGCGTCCACAGTGCCTCCCTCGGATGTCTCGTGCGGCAACTCAGGATCTCTCTTTGCCAGCTGGGGAATCCCAACATCTTTTTTACTTGCGCAGAGGTCATCTAAAAGAAATCCCAATAAATTGGATCAACATTAGTATAAAATTGTTAGAATAGAATAGAATAGAATAGAATAGAATAGAATAGAATAGAATAATAGAATAGGAATAGAATAGAAATAGAGTAGAGTAGGAATAGAATAGAATAGAATAGAATAGAATAGAATAGAATAGAATAGAATAGAATAGAATAGAATAGAACAGAATAGGAATAGAATAGAAATAGAGTAGGAATAGAGTAAGTATAGAGTAGAGTAGAGTAGGAATAGAACAGAACAGAACAGAACAGAATAGAATAGAATAATAGGGATGAAATAGGAATAGAATAGAACAGAACAGAACAGAATAGAATAGGAATAGAATAGAAATAGAGTAGGAATAGAGTAGAGTTTAGAGTAGAGTAGAGTAGGAACAGAACAGAACAGAATAGAATATAATAGAAATAGAGTAGGAATAGAGTAGAGTATAGAGTAGAGAATAGAGTAGAGTATAGAGTAGAGTAGAGTAGAGTAGAGAGTAGAGTAGGAATAGAACAGAACAGAACAGAACAGAATAGAATAGAATAGAATAGGAGTAGAATAGAATAGAGTAGGAATAAAATAGAATAGAAATAGAATAGAGTAGGAATGGAATGGAATGGAATGGAATGGAATGGAATAGAATAGAATAGAACAGAACAGAACAGAACAGAATAGAATAGAATAGAATAATAGGGATGAAATAGGAATAGAATAGAATAGAACAGAACAGAACAGAACAGAATAGAATAGGAATAGAATAGAAATAGAGTAGGAATAGAGTAGAGTTTAGAGTAGAGTAGAGTAGGAACAGAACAGAACAGAATAGAATATAATAGAAATAGAGTAGGAATAGAGTAGAGTATAGAGTAGAGAATAGAGTAGAGTATAGAGTAGAGTAGAGTAGAGTAGTAGAGTAGAGTAGGAATAGAACAGAACAGAACAGAACAGAATAGAATAGAATAGAATAGGAGTAGAATAGAATAGAGTAGGAATAAAATAGAATAGAAATAGAATAGAGTAGGAATGGAATGGAATGGAATGGAATAGAATAGAATAGAATAGAATAGAATAGAATAGAATAGAATAGAATAGAATAGAATAGAATAGAATAGAATAGAATAGAATAATAAATTTGTCACTTTAAATGTACACTAATCAGCATACATTAAAATGAGATTTCATTGCATTCAGCTCTCAGTGGGTAACCACCTCCAATATATACTGCATAAACATAACAAAAATAAATAAATAAAATAAATTATGTATATACTCACATACACACACATATGTGGGCCAAAAACAAATCTTGCGAGTTTCCAGACAGACGGCATGGGGAACAAAGCTATTACAGAATTGGGTAGTCCTGCTAGAAATACTTCAAAACCTCCTCCCGGAGGGGAGCAACAGAAACAGACCGTGAAGTGGGTGTGTGGGGTCTCTAACAATGCTTCGAGCTCTAAACACATAGCACTTATAGGCAGCGTCCTGAATACCAGGGAGCGAGCTTCCTATGATCTTCCCGGCTGTCCTTACCACTCTCTCTATGGACTTTCTATCTCAGGCACTGCTGCCACCAAACCAGACAGTGATGCAGTTTATTCAAATGCCCTCAATCGTGCCTCTGTAAAAAGTGGACAGAAGGAGAAAAACGTGCTCTCCTCATCCGGCGCAGGAAATGCAGACGCTGTTTTGCATGCTTCACTAAGGGTGAGGTGTGGAGAGACCAATTCAGATTGTTATGATCTGCACCCCCAGATACTTCATACTGTTGACCACCTCTACAGCTGCATCCTTGATACTGAGTGGAGTACGGCTATGCCGGCTTGGTCTAAAATCTACAGTGATCGCCTTTGTTTTATTCACATTCACAACCAGGTTACTTTTTTTGCACCAGTCCACCAGAGCCTTCACCTCTTCCCTATAAGCATCTTCACTGTCGTCCCGGATAAGACCCACCACTGCCGTGTCATTCGCATACTTCACAATATGATTCATTCTAAGTTTGTTCAGAGGTATGTTCTTTAAAATCAAATGGGCAAATAGCAGCAGCACTGAGACCCCATAGTGCTTTACAGCACACTCTTAAGTGATTTACAGTGTCAGCCTATTGCCCTCAAAGTCTGGGTCCTCATTTTACCAACCTTGGAAGGATGGAAGGCTAAGTCAATCATGCGTTGGTCAGGACTGAGCTTCACGCTGTGGGCAGAGTTAGCCTGCCATACTGCCTCCTAATCACTGCACCACCAGGGTTCCACGAATCGGGTCAGCCAAATCAAACATCATTTTAAAATCATTTCAAAGCTGCAAAGCACCCTTTCAATTAATAGGATAATCTGAGCCTGCATCTCAAGTAATTTGGTCTATAGCAGTGGTTCTCAACCTTTTTAATGCCGAGACTCCCCAACCGGTTGTAAGTCGAGGACGACTCAACCGGTCGTAAGTCGAGGACTACTCAACTGGTGCAGCACCGTTTGCAGAATGGGACTTTTGGCGGGCTCAGCAGGGCAGAGACAGCCTGGACAATTCCTATTGGCTTTTGAAAGCCAATAGAATTAGACTCTATTCAAGAGAGTCTATTCCAGTGGTTCTCAACCTGTGGGTCGGGACCCCATTTGGGGTCGAACGACCATTTCACGGGGGTCGCCAAACAAGGCTGTCCGCCATTTTTTTCCCCTTTTCTTTGGCCACGCCCCTGGCACCCGGTGATGTATAAGTGGTTGGGGGTCACCACAACATGGGGAACTGTATTATGGGGTCGCGGCATTAGAAAGGTTGAGAACCACTGGTCTATTCTATTGGCTTTCGAAAGCCAATAGAATAAAAGGGAGTAGCACAGCTAAGGAAAAGGGGGAAAAAATGGCGGACTGCGTTGTTTGGAGACCCCCGTGAAATGGTCGTTCGACCCCAAATGGGGTCCCGACCCACAGGTTGAGAACCACTGGCCTATAGGTCTTCTAAATTGGAAGGATTGATTTCCCAGCTGTGATTCTGGGAAAGGTGGAAGGAAAGAGAAGGGGGGGGGCAGCAGCGAAGGAGATGGACTCAATTACAGGGGTGATGATGGCGCCAGTTATCATTGACAATGTGAATAATAAAACCTCTCAACATTAAAGATGCCTCAAACCTCTTTTTTTTAGGGAGACAAAATCGGCTGGTTAATTATGTGCCATCAGACTGGTGTCGACTCTTAGCGAGCGCAGTGAAAGATGTCCTCTATGGTCTTCTCGCTCAACCTGATCCTTCAGCTCTTCCAATCGTGCCCTCATCACCACCGTAACCGAGGCCACCGTGCTTGGGTGCTGGTTGTCCTCCCGTGCTTACGGACTTCGGAACGGAGCGAGGCCTTCAAACCCACGTGTCCCGAATAGGATAATGTGAACCTCTTCCGTTGTGTCTCAAGTGAGAACTCTGGCTAGACTTCCTGTCTGCTTTGTGTAGCCTTTGTTTACTCCCAAAGCTTGCCTTTGGTTGAACTGGACTAATAATAATATAATAATAATAATAATAAGTCATAGAAAATGATAAAATTAAACTTCTCTGGGACTTCAGAATTCAAACAGACAAGCACCTGCAACATAACACCCCAGACTTAACAATTGTCGATAAGAAAGACAAAAAAGTCTGGATAGTGGATGTGGCAGTGCCTGGAGATAGCAGAATAGAAGAAAAAGAACTGGAGAAGATAACAAAATACAAAGACCTACAAATAGAAATAGAAAGACTATGGCAAAAGCAAGCAAGGGTAGTACCAATAGTCATAGGCTCCTTGGGTGCAATCCCACAACAACTGGAGCACCACTTGAACACAATTGGCATTGACAAATTCGCTATTAGTCAATTGCAAAAGGCGGCCTTACTAGGAACTGCTTCCATCCTGCGATGATACCTGTAATACCATCAAACATCCACATCTGCCTATCCCATGTCCTTGGTAAGGACTCGATAGGTAGACAAAATGCCAAATCCAGTCTGAACATCTGGCTGACTGTGCGATGATCCATAATAATAATGTTGGAAGGGACCTTGGAGGTCATCTAGTCCAACCCATTTCAGACAAACGGCTGTCCAGTCTCTTCTTAAAAACCTCCAGTGTTGGAACATTCACCGCTGAATGGAGCATTCAGGTTGTTCCACTGGTTAATTGTTCTAACTATCAGGAAGTTTCTCCTTAGTTCTAGGTCAGTGATGGCGAAACTTTTAGAGAGCGTGTGCCCAAACTGCAACCCAAAACCCACTTATTTATCGCCGGGTGCCAAGTGGGCGTGGCCCACTGGGTGGGCATGGCTATGGTGGTCATGGCAGACTGGGTGGGTGTGGCCAAGGTGGGCTTGATCACCTCGAAGTTGCTCCTGGGGAGGGACACCTGTGGGGGATGGGCAGGGTTTGGGGAGATCCAGGAGGTCTCTGGCAGGTGGGGCGGTGGGCAGGAGGCAAGGCGAGGCGGGGTGAGGAGGCAAGGCAAGGCGGGGGTGCCATTGTCACAGGGCAAGGTGAGGCAGGGGCTGGGGCGGCTGCTACCTGACACCATCGGCCCCTGCACACAGAGGCCAGCGAGCGCATGGGTGCTGGGATGCATCCAGCCATGTGGAACCTCAGTGAGTTAGCGGGTGGCTG